CTGAGGTCTCGCCTCACTCTGTGGCTTTGCCCAGCAGCAGCAGCATGAGGAGATCTCTGCAAAGAAGCTGCGGCTGACCAAGCCCAGTAAGTCGGCAGCACTCCATGTCGATCTGTGTAAGGCTACTTCGCCGGCAGATGCTCTGCAATACCTGCTTCAGTTTGCCAGGAAACCAGTGGAGGCGGAAAGCGTGGAAGGAGTTGTCAGAATCTTGCTAGAGCATTATTACAAGGTAGGGGAAATAGCCTCAGGAGCAACTTTCATGGGACTTAGAGCTGCAAGAAATAGTGGGACTTTTGTATAGTTCTATTTCCTGACATGGCTCTTGTTGGAGAGATGCTCAAGTGTTGGTAACAGAATGTGAAGGTTCTAAAGTGATGTTGGGTTTTGGAGTGAACCTCCCCAAGCCTGATTGACAGAGTTGGGTTAGTCTCCTACTAATGCCCTAAAAGTAGCTGTATAAATAGGGCTTTGAAGTAACCACTTGGAGTCTAAAATGTAGAAAAGGGTGATGAACTTCAGAGCTCTCCCAATTCTAGTGGCCCATTGATTCTCATCATGCTTATTATTGATTCTATGATGCTTATTAAAAGTGAAGTTAAAAAGTGCACCGTGGCTTAACAACCACGTAAAAGAAGCAGCAAGAGATAAAAAGGCATTGTTTAAAAAGTGGAAGTTAAATCCTAGTGAGGAACATAGAAAAGAGCATACACTCTGTCAAAGTAAGTGTAAAAATATAATTTAAAAAAGCCAAAAAAGAGTTCGAAGAACAGCAAGCCAAAGCCTAAAAAGTAATAGTAAAATGTTAAAATACATCAGAATCTGGAAGCCTGCTAAACATCCAATGGGGCCATTGGACGATCAAGATGCTAAAGGAGCACTCAAAGACGATAAGGTCATTGCGGAGAAACTAAATTAATTCTTTGCTTCAGTCTTCACAACTGAGGATATTAGGGAGATTCCCAAACCTGGCCATTCTTATTTCTTATTACAGCGACAACCTCAAGTTCACCTATCTTAGTATTTGAACTTCTTGCGTTTGTATACAATCAGTTACAAAATCTGTTAATATGTAGTTGTCTGCCTTCAGGTTATGTAATTGAATGGGACTCCTTTTTGTTTGACTTACTCTTCAGTTCCTATCTGTACTTTTATCAACTTCTATTCTCTTCTCCTTACTAGGCTATAGAGCTAGGGTGCCCAACATGCTAGCCACATATGGCTATTTGGCCTGTTGAGTGTGGCTAGTTTCAGAACTGGTTGGAAACCACGGAGTATCCTCTTTAATCCTCCCTTAAGTGATATGGTTGTCTAAACTGTGTGTTCCTCTGCATCTGTTGACTTGCCCACAGCTCTTAGTTCAAAAACTACTCTACTACTTAGGGATGTTAAGCATGTAATTCGTTAATTGTGTAGTCGACATAATTTTGTTGACTACATGATTACTCAATAAGGGTTAGCACTGTTACCACTCAGTCCCAGCTTGTACTGGGTCTGGCAACTCCTGCTTTGGTTCTGCACTACAAGCACTCGTAAGGCAGAGCTGCAGCAGGGGTTGATGCTGGGTCCCGGCATGAGTGAGACTAGGGCTGTTAAATATCGGAACATTGAAAAATCGATTAACCTCATAAATGTTTATTGGTTGATAGACTGTTCTATAGTTCCCAGGGATGAGGCCAGCAGCCAGTGCGCTCTAGCCCCACTCCCGAGGAACCCCTGCCACTCTGTGCTGTTGGGGGGGGAAGGGTGGGGCTAACCTCCCAAACCCTGCACAAGTCAAAACTGAGCCAGGCTGCCCGCCCGCCTGGCTCCTAACACACTTTAAATGCAGAGCCACAGCAGGGATAGGTTCTGGACCTGGCGTGAGCGAGGACTGAGTTGGGCTTCTGGTCAGCCTGCTAAAAAATGTACTGGCAAAGGGGAGGTGGGTGGGAGTAAATGCATGTAGCTATAACCTATAAGCTTTTGCTTATTGGTTAATCGACTACACTATTACATCCCTAGCCGGGACTGATCCAGCCTATCTGTTCACTGGCTCTTATTGCTGGGACCTGGCAACAATCCCCGCTGCGGCTCTGCAGTACAAGCATTAAGAGCCAGTGTGGGGGTTAATGCTAGGTCCCAATGTGAGCCGGGACTGAGCCAGCCTGTCATCCAGCCCACTAAAATATTTACTTGTGGGGTGGCGGGAGTGTTGCGTGTAGTCAGTGGTGTTAACCAATAAGCACCTACTTATCAGTTAATCGTTTAGTTGACTACACTGTTACATCCCTACTACTACCTCTTTAATTTTACATACCAGCAAGCTGGCTCTGTTTTGGTTTAGGCGTAGCCCATCTGTTCTGTATAGGGTCTTCATTTCCCAAAAGTTTCCCCATTCCTAATAAATCTAAATTCCTTGTCTAAACACCGTTGTTTCATCCATACTTTGAGACCCTGCAGTTCTGCCTATCTAACTGACCCTGTGCACGGAACTGGGAACATTTCAAAGAATGCTACTGTGAAGGTTCTGTACTTTAATCCGTTACCTAGCAGCTTAAATTTGACATCCAGAACCTCTCACCTGTGTTTTCCTATGTCATTAATACCTACATTAGTACCATGTCCACCTGTTCATCCCCACCACTGCACATAAATCTGTATGTGTCAAGAGGTCCATCACCTTCACACCTGGCCAGCAATTCACCAAGAGGGACTTTCTGTCATCACAAACCCAACAATCTGTGTTTCTTATAATCCAATCCCTGCATTATTATTACTTCACCGTCCAGAAACAGCGGTCTCCTCCCCACACTGCTTTCACCTTCCAGAAACAGCGGTCTCCTCCCCACACTGCTATCTTCAGTGTGAGATGACAATTGAGACTATAAGGTAGCTTTCCCCTTACTCATCACTAAAATCTTGATGGAAAATTCTTTTCCTAATATAACTTTCCAACAAACTAATGGCATACATAACATTAGGAGTGAAACATATCCTGGCCATGTCTCAAGAAAGGTGTTGGGACAGATTTCCCATAATGTGAATTTCTCTTCCTCATCTTTCGGAGGCAACAATTACATGAAAATATGTCTGGGAAGAATCATTATAATTCTTTTTCTTTCGGAGGCAACAATTACATGAAACTGTCTGGGAAGAATCATTATAATTCTTTACAATAGGGTTGAATATCTTACTTTGGGCTGTTAGCCATCAGTTTCCCAAGTGAAGATCATGCTGACAACTCAGTAGGAGCTGCAAGGTAACATCTGATTATAAGTGGGCAACAAAAAGTCAGATGAAATTCTATGAAGACGATACAAGATAACATACTGGGTTAAATCAAAACATAGGTCCTGATATTTTAGGTGCTCTACAACCACAACTGGGGTCAGTTTTTCAGAAGTGTTTAGACACTATTCAACATTGTAATAGTATGGCCAGATTTTTCCAAAGAGCTGAGCACCCAATGTGGGGTGCTCCTCTAAGAATCCTGTCACTTATTTAGATGCCTAAATGGGAGCTCTGAGTTGTTTGCAACTGAGATGATCTTTGGAGCATTTTCCTGATTCATCTACTTGGCCAGGAGTAGGGAGCTGGAGGTTTCTTCTATTACCTCTATCCTAGTCCATGAAGCAACATACAGACTTGGAGGGTAAGGTTGGTTTCCCTAATCCACTGCTTTGGGCCATCTCAAAGATCCCTCTGATTTGTTTAAAATAAACTTGCAAGACTCATGCATGTAATGTTTTAAAATGATTTGTTAGAAATTGTTAATTTAAGTCTAGGTTAATGTATTCTTTTCTATACAAGAACATGGGAGGCATTAGAAATTCTGTAAGCAAGTAGTGTATTCATGAAAATCTGTGTCATGTTACTGAAGTAAATAGTTTAGTTATACTGCATGTTGCAAGAATGCTCAGTCATCATTCTTCAGTACATGGGTTGCTCTCCAGCTAGAATTAAAAATTAATTGCTCTTTACTGGCATATTGTGTTATGGAGAGAATACTTCAGAAGTCACTGCCATTGGCTGCTGTTGCAGGGAAAACAGTAAACCGTGTGAATCATTAATGTGTGAGATTGCAATTCTGATGTTCCCATCAATAATTGTTACAGTACATTTGTGTTCTCAATGGAAAGCTCTCCTACATGCTAAAAACTGAAAATTGTGCATTGTAAAATTGGAAACATTTGAGCCATCTGAATTTAGTATCAAAATAATGGAATACTTTCTATCAGAGCACCCTCACTTCATATTCAATTAAATAACTTTTTGAATGCTCTGGAAGCTGCTGAGGAAATCTCAATATGCCATCAAATCTGGCATTGCTGTGCTGCAGTAATTAGGGCGATTGGGGGGATTGCTGAAGACTTTGACATCCATAATTTTGTGCTGTATGTGGGTCCTAGCCTGTGTTTCACTATTTTATGATCTTTAAGCTGAAAACAGAGTGGAGGAGATCCTCATATTTTTTTCCATTTCTAGGAGAATGATGCATCTGTGAGGTTAAAGATTGCTTCCTTGCTGGGTTTGTTATCAAAGACGGCAGGATTTTCTCCAGACTGCATTATGGATGATGCCATTAACACACTTCAAAATGAAAGTAAGTCACACTTCAGATTCAAATTGAAATCAAGGCAGAATTCTGCAGACTTCATACATCTAAGGATTGTGGCAAGATTCTTATGTGAACATAGAGAACCTAAATATATGCTTTAGGATTCTTGCCCAAAGGGAACACTCATGCCTTCCCTTCTGCCCTGTTCTGTATTTTTATGACCAGTGGAAAACCCTATCATGGCATTTTGAGGGCAAAAAAGTCTTTCAATATTACTGAAACAAAAGGCAGAACTATGTAGCACTTTAAAGACTAACAAGATGGTTTATTAGGCGATGAGCTTTCGTGGTCCAAACCCACTTCCTCAGATCAATATGTGGAAGAAAATCAGCACAACCATATATACCAAAGTGATACAATCAAAAAAAAAATGAACGCATGTGAAATTGACAAATCAAATTCTAGAACAGAGTGGGGGTGAGGGGGAAAGGTAAGTTTCTGTGAGGTAATGACATAAGGGTGATAATAGGGGAAGTTTCTGTGAGGTAATGACATTAGGGGTGATAATTGGGGAAACTATCTTTGTAATGGGTGAGATAATTAGAGTCTTTGTTTAAACCCATACATAGTGTCAAATTTAAGCATGAATTTAAGCTTCAAAATTGTCATTCGTTGTGCCGATTTTCTTCTGATCTGAGGAAGTAGGTCTGGCCCACGAAAGCTCATCACCTAATAAACCATCTTGTTAGTCTTTAAAGTGCTACATAGTCTGGTGTAGCTGAAACAAAAGACAGAACTAACACAGCTGCATCTCTATCACTTTTCAAAATCACTGTTTGTTATTTTCGTTGTAGAGCAGATAGTGTGTTCCTGCTGCAAAATCACAGAACCAGAGCGGTTGTTTCTCAACTGCTCATTTTTGGGGGGGAAGGAAGGAGCATTGTTTGCAAGTGCAAGCCTGTAATGGAATCTTTCCTCACTTAGGCTGCAGGATAGCAGCAGAGGTTTGATTTAAATGTGCACACAGGCATCATTCCCCTAGCACTGTTTCATCATTCCCCTAGCACTGTTCTCCATATCTGGCTATAACAAAGCCAATTTAAATTAAATTAAATTTGTATTTAGTTTTAATTTTATCCCTCTGAACACTTTAGGTAAAAGCCTTTCATTGGGAGGAGGGGATGCAAGTCACCAGGGACATTTAGGAGCACAAGTTCAGTTGAGAGTCCTTTTGGATATTTCAAACATGAAAACAGCATGTTTGGAATGCATACAGTGGTATAACAGTTTACTTGCAGCGTAGACAGTGAGATCTCTGTAGGCTCACAAAATTATTTCAGAGATATGAAACCTTTCACTGTCTTATTTGACAGAGTCCCACCAAGTTCTTGCTCAGCTGCTGGATACCCTGTTGGTGATTGGGATGAAACTCACAGAGAACCCAGCTGTCAGAATGAGACTCCTAGATGTAGCCTGCAAGGTAATATAGTCTTACTGATGAAGTAAATATGCTTTAAAGGCCAAATTCTGCTCCTGGATACTCGTGCAGCTTATGCTGTAGTTTGCAATATAAAAAAATCTACATAACAAAAAGTGTTCAATACACTGAAACCGTCTAAATCTGAATTGACCTGTTGCAGCCCCAAAATAGTATCTATGACATACCTGTTAAAATCGTAATCTTATCAGTTTTCATGCTTTCTATTTACATAAACCTGGTTATGTCCAGATTACAAATGTGGCTAAAAGTTGTCCCTATTTTCCCAGTGTAGTTACTGGTTCATGGATAAGTCAAATGAATGGAACCATCTTACATTTAGATATGGTTGGATATTGTATTTCTACATGTCTGCGATTCACCTAGCATCCCATTGGTTTTACGTAAATCCAGATTCCCTAAATTGTAGGCCTGTCTTCAGTCCACTAGACCACAATTGCCTTTTATATTTAAACAGAGGAAATGAAGCCCAAAGTTCATAGATAATGTTAGCTGGCCTTAATTTGCAGCATTAAGGGGTATTCTTATTCTTCTTATTATTTTTATACTTATGTGGTCAATGATATCTGACTGACACCCGCTAACTCTTTCTCTTAGTACTTATGTCCCACATAAGAGCCCCTGTAAAGATAAAATAACTCTATGTAAGCTTGAAAGCCTGTCTCTTTCACCAACAAAAGTTGGTCCAATAAATAATATTAAAACACCCACATAGTCTCAAGAAAACAATGTCTGTATATAGCTAAAATATTCTTGTTGTTAAAGGGAAAAATTATACTGACTCTGATGTTTGAGTTGAGCAATAAGCCTTGTGATCATTCTGAATTTTACAATTATATCTGTAATTAGAGTACACTGAGTTAATGGAATAGCCACTTTGAATAAGAATCATGGAATGCTTTGCCAGGTGAGTTAATAAATTATCCATAATTTACCCATTTCCCTTTTGTTATTTGAATGAAAAGATTATCTGAGTCAATTAATCACTCCCCTTCTTCAAATGTAATTTTAAAATGTGCTGCTTATCTTTGATTTATGATCAATCTTCTAGCTGAGAAGACTGTATAAGAAATTATATTATACTAAATGATCTTTTAAAGATATTTTTGGGAGGGATTTAATAGTTCGTTTCATTGATACAGAGGATTAGTGATTAATTGGTGAAATGTTTCCTAATTTTACTTACCATTTGAAAATATGCTTGTAGAAGTGAATTTAATTTCTATTAATTGTATTGACAGGCAAGCTATATTCACAACTGTTTTTCTGTGTGTGTACCAAATCAATAGGAGATTTTGGTGTCAGTCAATTGCAGGACAGGACTTTGTTAGGGCTACTAAATTTAAGGATATATTTTAAGGTAGACTAAAATCATATACATTCTGAGACAGTTTGGGCATGAGCACAGGACAAGGAACTCTTGAATTCCCACTTTGACACTTTCATTCTTAACTGTAAAATGGGGAGGATGTTTGTAAGTGCCAGGTATCTTTTTCTGCATGAGCAGTTATTCATTTTGTGTGTGCTGCTTAGGGTGTGCAATATTTTGCCTAAATTACATCTGCAACTATTTTTAAAAATAATGCCCCCTGAGACAGCTTATTTTAATTTGTTGCCAAAAAACAATTTTCTATGGAGATAACTGTAATGTGTGACACTTTTTTATTAAACTTCTTCATGAAATTGTTATTCTGTAGGATTGATAATGTATAGAATAAAATGCTAAGTATCAAGTATTTGAAGGAGCGCTACTACTGAACTCTTCCTCCCCCATAGATGATAAAACTTTTTTCCTGCAGGATGACAATGTGGCGTCATCACGTCATCTGCGTGCTCATGCCATGCCGCTGCCTCTGCCTCTGTCCTTAGGGGTACGTCTGGACTACATGCCTCTGGTGACAGTGGCATGTAGATTAGGCTACCAGACATAGTAAAATGAAGCGGCGATTTAAATAATCGCCGCTTCATTTAAATTTACATGGCTGCCGTGCTGAGCCGACAAACAGCTGACCAGCTGTTTGTCGGCTCAGCGCGATAGTCTGGACGCGCGGGTGTCGACATCAAAGGTATTTGTCGACCACCCAGGTAAGCCCCCTGGGATGAGGTTTACCTGGGTGGTCGACAAATGCCTTTCATGTCGACACCCGTGCATCCAGACTATCGCGCTGAGCTGACAAACAGCTAATCAGCTGTTTGTCAGCTCAGCACGGCAGGCAAGCGGCGATTATTTAAATCGCCGCTTCATTTTACTATGTCTGGTAGCCTAATCTACATGCCTCTGGTGACAGAGGCATGTAGTCTAGACGTACCCTAGGATGCTTGCTGTGGCCAGCCATCTGAGCCCACCCCTATCCTTTCCCAGGCCGCTCTGGGTCCACTCTGTCATCCAAGTCCGACCCTCCTTCCCCGGGTCACACCAGCTCCCCTCTGCACACAGACCCTGGGCTATGCCAGGTCTCCTCCACCGTCCGAGCCCCTCTTCCCCCACCTCTTCACACTTTCTGCTAAGAGAGAGGGGGTTTGGCGAGCATATTGAGCAAGGGGCACAGCCCTCTAGTTTCCTCTGAAAAATGTTGCATATTTAAAACAAAACAGACTTTTGAGAGACTTTTAACTCATGTGAAAAAGAAAAACATTTCTTATTCTATCCCATTACATAGTATTTGACAGACTCCTCCCATGGTGTCAGAAATAAGTGCCTCCAGCTGATTGGCTATCTTGGATCTGTGGAAAAAGGAGCCACAAAGGAAACAGAAAGTTTGGTTACCAAAGATGTCCAGAAGATAATAGGGGACCACTTTAATGACCAGGACCCTCGTGTTAGGAGTGCTGCTATAAAAGCTATGGTAAGTGCCGCTGCACACTTACATGTTTTCTTGAGTTACTCCTCATATATTTAAGTGGTTGTACATTTGAGCCATAAAAACCTCAGACAGGAGGGTGATTTATTAAATCAGGTTGGTAAACGTGAGAATTAAAGTTACTCATGATACAAGTAAATTGGCCGTAAACAAGTGAGAAGGGAATATGCAGATTCTTGTACAATAGATTTGTAGTTTATATAACAAACAGGGCACATTCCAATTAGCAGTAAATAAGCTTTTCTTGCTTTAGCATTGTTTATGATCAATACTGACCACTCCAACCAATGCTTGTTGGGATACAGCATCAGAAAGTTACTGGAGGAAGAAGAGCTAATTCAGTAATTTAAAAAATTCAAGAGAAGGTTTATACTTAAAAGTAGTATGTCTGCAGAGCTCAGTAGTCATACTAATTGGGTGTTCAGCGACTGCTAGTAAGGTAAACCCATTCCCATGTGGGAATGGAGGGTATTTAAATTAACACTTGTTAAACTTCTGAAAAAGAGGCAGTACTTAATATAGGATTTCAGTAAGGTCTGGTTGGGACTCCCTCTGCTAGAAGTTGCTCTTTCCATCCACTTGTGGTACACTTTAATGTCTCTCTTTATAGATATATTTTTAAAATGTCTTCATATGACCTTTTATGGTTAAATTGAATGTCCAAAGCTAGACTCCTATTGCGAGGAAAAGCACAAAAACATCCATCATTCATTGGTTTTAGAGTGGAAAGCACTGTTTTGAGGCACTCAAAAACCTTGGCAATGTTTACTTTGCTACTGTATTAATATTTTTCTTCATGTGTAAACTGTAATCTGAAGAGGCCTATTTAAAAGATAAATGCTTTTCTTTCAGATGTTGGCCTCGTGGATAGGCTTCCCATGTATAGGAACATGTATAATTTTGTCTTACAGTTTATACTTCAGAAGCTCACGTGAAGCTATAATATTCTATGTAGAAATTGTCTGTGGTTGCTAGAGAAGTTTCTGTTGTTTTTTTTGAGTCAGTAGTTGAGAGTGTTTCCAGGACAAGATTTTACTGAGATTTCGTGTTGTCAAGCGCAACTCTTCAGACTGGAGAAAGATGGTGTTATTGAAAGCATTAATAGAGAAACCAAGTATGATGGAGACAAACTTTATATCAAAGTCTCAATAATTATTTATTATAATAAGATGAGAATATGTAATTCAGCAAAGACCAGTTAATCAGAGAATTGACTATTATTAATTGTTTGCTATATGGGATTCAAGTAAATGACAATCAAATGTCCGAGACAATAGCAATGAAAATTGACTGTCTATTTAAAACCATGTGATAACACATCTGTGTTTCTCCTTTTATAGCTGCAACTGCATGAAAGAGGATTAAAATTACAGCAGACTATTTACAGTCAGGTAATCTCTTATTAAATATTGTTCAGGTTCCTTTTTTGTTTGTGACAAGGTAGTTGAAAAGGAGAGGAAGTACGTTTAAGGATAGTGAGGCTGTGGAGGTGATGTAATATGAATTCAGAGTATGAAGTCAGATTGTATACTTTTTTGTAGCTTTGTCCTGAAAATGCAAGTATTTTTGAAATTCTTGTTTTCTCAGCTGCAATAGGTCAGACAGGTATGATGACTTTTACTGAAGGAGGGAGAGGGTTGGGGAAAGGATGAAGCATTTACATAATTATGGCCCTGATCCTGCAGTCTAATTTGTGCAAGTGGAACCTTGTACACATGAGTCTTCAAAGCATTCCATGGAATGGGCCAAGGATATTTAAAAGACTGTCTAAAGCTCTGGAACAAAGACCCCGATTGACAACTATGCTCCTCTGGCATAATGGAGCGCTCTACTTTGAGTAAAGCTCATCTGTGCAGGACACAGAACTTTTCCCAGGGGACTAAGACTGTGGAATAAACTCTGCCAAGAGCCAAAGATCATCACAGACGCTTCTTTCCTAGTGCAAGGTGCATTTTTGACCTGCCTTCTCTGATATAAACTCATAGCATCAGGTATATTAGGAGAGGGGAAAATTACCTAAACATGATACTCCATGCATATAGTTTGTCCTTTAAAGAGAAGAGTGAACAAACAACATGTGGAAGGTCTGGTATGACTAGGCTGAAATAATCCTATACATCTTGATTGGTAACCTGGCCTAACTGGTAAAGTACAGATTCAGAGTTTAATGGAAGCTTACATGTAAACCTAGTGCAGAGGTGTAAGACTAATATTTGGAAACCTTCATTTCAGGCTTGCAAATTGCTCTCAGATGATTATGAACAGGTACGCAGTGCTGCAGTTCAGTTGATCTGGGTCCTCAGTCAGCTGTATCCTGAGAGGTATGTGCTATGTTCAAACAGATTCAGAAAGTTATACAGGAGGAGAATAAGCATGCTAGTTCTGAAGGTTTTGTCTTAGACAAGTCTGTAAGTAGTGATTTGAAAGGCTATATGTATTAAATGCGATAAGCTGAAAGGGGATGGACATGTTGTATTACATGACTTTTTTTGTTTTGTTAAGATTCCTTATATTATATAGTAGTAGTAGTACAGTCCTGTTTATTTCAGTGGTCTTTTCCATGGAAGATGACACATTTTATACAAAGTATCAGCACAGTGACTTATGTTGTGTGCCTTTGTCTTGTTCAGCATTGTACCAATTCCTTCTTCCAATGAAGAAATTCGCTTAGTTGATGATGCATTTGGAAAAATATGTCACATGGTTAGTGATGGCTCCTGGGTTGTTAGAGTGCAAGCTGCTAAGCTGTTGGTAAGTTTCCTTGTTATTCTCATGCCTTCCTGGTAGAAGATCACAGTATGCCTATGTTTTTGGGGGAAAGGCTGTGAGGAGCAGGGCTCGACAAACTGCTGTTTCTACTCGCCCATAGCGAGTAGATTTCAGCCGGTCGCTCCATGCACCCCATTCACCGGCGCTGCGCAGTGCAGGGCTGGCGAGTAGCTCTCGCCATAGTTTGTCGAGCTCTTGTGAGGAGAGTATTATTATTCTGAATTTTGTTTACTGGATTTGTTGGTTGATGCGGTATATGATGTCAATGTCTAAATAAATTGATATCTGCAAAAATGTCAAATCCATTATGAGGAGACGGGTGTGAGAAATGGAGCTAGAGTGTATGCAGAACCATTTGAAAATAGCTTCCAAGCTGTGGATTCACAGCTGTTTTCTCCTCTGTGGGGAATGGACTCCTCAGTACAACCAAAATCTCATAGCCCCCAACTTCAAGTCCAGATTTTTAGATCCCTAGTTCTAAGGGAGGGGTGCTATGATGAACTCAGATTTTTAAAAGCTCCTAAATACAGCAGTGATAAGCACTAAATAAATCTCTTGGAATACAGAAATGAGTGGTCACTGTGCTGGGGTGGGTTAGTGGGTTAGCTAGCAGATTCTATTCTCTTAAATTCATAACCATCTTGGTTCTTCATATAATGTGTTTGTTTTTCTTCCAGGGATCTATGCAGCAAGTTAGTTCCCATTTCTTGGAGCAGACACTTGATAAGAAGCTGATGTCAGATTTGAGGGTTCGTGAATCTTTTCTTTGATCATTTTTTTTGTACCTCCCCCCTGTTCCCCCTGTGCCTAGCTAAATAAAATTGCACAACAGATATGATAATGATGAACATATTTGTTTATCACGTCCATGCCTGAGGGCAATTGAGAGCTGATTGATCGTGACAGGTTGACTTTAACAGAAAATGAAGCCTAAACTGACTTCATTAGCTTTTCATAGAAGATTAGAGTTGGAAGAGACTTCAGGAGGTAATCTAGTCCAACCTCTCCTGTGCAAAGCAGGACCAATCCCAGCTAAAGAATTTTTGTGTCCTTGTAATAAATCACTCCTTAGGCTGTTTGGATTTCATTGAGAAGACAGTGGGATTAGTATGCTGTTTTGTCAGCTTCTTGTTTTATAATATCTCTTATTTATTAGGATCAGAAAGATTTTGTTCAAGTTTTGGGAACATGCTATAGCGCAAGATCTTACACAATCTCTTTGGTAGTCATTTCAAATGACTTGGTGGTTATAATTGTTTTGTTTTGTTTTTTATTTTGACTTAGTTGATTCATGTAGTAGCCTTGGGCGAAATCCTCAGTTGGCTCAGTTTTTCTAAGTACAAAGTGGGGATAAATCATCTGTATCTCACAAGGATGAAAACAAGTAGTCCTGTGGCACCTTAGAGACTAACAAATATATGTAGTTTCATTTTTATTTTTGTTAGTCTCTAAGGTGCCACAAGACTGCTCATTGTTTTAAAGTTAGACTAACACGGCTACCGCTCAGAGACCTTTTTCACAAGGATGAAGTGTGTTTGAGATACATGGTTGGCTAGTAAGTGAATGGAAGGCTTTGTCTGCACTGGAAAAATGAAGTGTGTTAGGAAATGTCCAGACATTTTATTTAACACGTGGTTTAATGCCAGTTAGTGTCTAATACAGACAATCAAAGTGGTAGGATTTAACCACAGTTTTCCCAGTGTAAACAAAGCATAAAATATTAAGTAATTGTCATGTAAGAAGCTTTCATGTCTCTCAGCAATTACATCTCTTCTTCTTATCAGCTTTGAAGGTTCTTGCCACACCTTCTGGGACTGGAGCAAGCCAGTTAATGCATCAGTAGTTCTTTTAAAATTCAGTAGCCTTTATGATACACATGGGTTGTAATCAGAACATTTTGTTTGCACAGAGGAAGCGCACTGCACATGAACGAGCCAAAGAGCTCTACAGCTCTGGAGAGTTTTCAAGTGGCAGAAAATGGGGAGATGATGCGCCTAAAGAAGAAGTAGACACAGGTGCTGTGAACTTGATTGAATCAGGAGCTTGTGGGGCTTTTGTTCATGGCCTGGAAGATGAAATGTATGGTAAGTGTTAACTTTGTATGTGGCAACCAAAGAAAGGAAGATCTGCCTGTAAAGTCCCTAATACATTTTTCTGTATAACCTTCCAAAATTCATGTTTCCCAGAACTGATCCCTTTTGTTTATTTTAACAAATGACTACTATATTGCAAGGTGTTTTGTAATTAACATATTATGATGGTGAGCAAGTAGATTTTGTTGTTTCTTGCAAAATAGTCGTGATTCTCCAAGACTGAATTAATGTTGGCTTAGCACTTTGGATAGGCAAAACATTCTATACTAGAGTATCTTGAAGTCAATAATTTTTATAAGCAATTAATTTAGTTAAGTGTGTGCATGTGGAGGGGGAAGGAGTATGTACTTCTACTGTTCAAGGACCAGCTTCCACCAGGTTTTTTCATTGACTTCAGTAAATTAGATTGGGTCATACTTCGGAAACTTTAATTGCTGTTGCTAGAAATGGACAAATTCTCTAGCTCCTGGAGGAAGGGGAAACTACGTTCATCTTACAATTTAAATCATGTTCATCCTCTCTCATTGTAAATAATTTTAACCAAGTTGGCCAGAGTCTGGAGATTGGAACCCAGGCACTAGAGTTCTAAATTTGGCGATGACAATGACTTGATGGACAAGGCCACTTCACCTCTCTGCCCCAGGCTCCCCATCTGTGAACTAGAAATAATTCTTACTCCTTAATTCTCCATGGGGCTATTGAGAGGGTTAATGTTAGTGAAGTGCCTTGAATATGAAAATTTCTGAGAGCTGTAATTTGCTGGTTTTCGCTTTTAAAATGTATTGCTAGGATATAGTAACATTAGAAAGTACAGGGTGTGCTCTAAAAAATACCTCTATAAAATTACACTGTAAAAATTGGTTTGTTGTTCTATCAGCTCTATATTGGGCTTGCTCAATTTGCAATTAAAATTATGTTGTGTTTCTGTGAAAATCCTTCCGTGATGTGAAAAATAACCTTGGTTCTTTCTGGCTTAACAATAAATATTTTTCACTTGGAACAATTCTGATTTCCAACTTGCTGTCACATAGACGTTTTCTTTTCATGACAAAGGGTAGCATTGCTATCAATGATTGATTCAGAATACATGCAGATCTGGTGAAGTGATCTGGAAATTATTTTATATGGTCAACTCTGACTATTACTGCACTTTAAAGTGGAACTGTAGTCAGTAGCACTTGCACACTAAGGATGTTAAATTGAGGTTAATTGACTAGTCGATGGAATTTCCATCGATTAGTCGATATGCACTTTCGCATTCCTCCTCTTGTACATTTCAAAGGAGGAATGCGGAACTCTGCATACAGCCTGGGGCCAGTGGGAAATCCCACTGACTCTGGGTTGCAGGCAGGTGCCTGCTTTGAAATGTACAAGAATCCCCAGTGGGGGCTCTTGTGCATTTCAAAGCTATGGAGCCCGGGGTCAGCTGGGGAGTCTCTGGTGCTACCCTTTTGAAATGCTGAAGCAGCGTTTCAAAGGGTAGCACTACACAGCTGAGCCTGGGATCAGCTGTGCAGCTGCCCCTTCTAAACGCCAAAGTGCTGTTCAAAAGGGCAGCGCCATGGAGCCCGAGGTCAGCTGGAGGACTCCGTGGCATTTCAGTGGAACCTGGGCCAGCTGAGAACTCCCCAGCTGACCCTGGGCTCCACGGCGCTTTGGTGTTTTCAAGGGGCAACCTCACACTGCTGAGCCATGGATCGCCTTGGGGTTTCAAAGTGGCAGCGCTGCACAGCTGATCCCTGGCTCAGCTGTGCAGCGCTGCCGTTTTAAAGTACCCCCTCCCCTTTGCTGCCTTTATCTGGTAGAGGCGGTGGGGGGGATTGACTAGTTGATTAGTCCTTAACATCCTTATTATACACAGTGCAGCAGCCTACCTTTCATCCATGTACTGATTTCAATCTGTATTTTAATTTGCCCTGTCAGAGCCATATCAGTGAACTGTGTTTCAATCTCCATTGCCTTGACTGTAGTGAGTGGGTTGGTAGATGTGGGAAAAGTATCTATAACTAAATCATCAGAAGTCTTACTATGGTTGTGTTTTTCCGGTTAATCAGGCATCAGGAATCACACCATGTTTTTCAAGAGAAATAGGTCTAATATGCTACAATTGCAAGTTTTAATTCAGTGTTTTTGGATGAAAAATAGAAATATCTAAATGGGTCAGATCAGGTTCTGTTGTTTATGATGATTTATAAATACTTTCAGAAACCATATGAGAATCTTTTCCCTTCATTTAATGGATTACATGTGGAGATACTTCAGACGCCTGCAGTGCTTTTTACAGCATGAATATGTGTTCGTGGTTTGGGTTTCTCTTCTGGTCTTTGCAATAATATGTATTGCAATGATTCACATAGTACCTCTTCCCTTCTCCTGAGGGATCACAGAGCTGTCAAAATAGGGTTCACTCTTTCTGCTATTGAAGTACAGTCACCCTGGGGTGAAATGTAACTTTCCAGCAGTACATAGAGAACTAAACAGTAAGTGAAAAAAGGATGTGAAGAATACACTAGACAATTGAAATGTCAGGAAGACTATAGGGAGGCAGAATGTAATTTCCAAACTGTTATTTGACCAAGGTTATACCCCTATTCCAGTAAAACATGCCATGGCTCTCAAATAATCTAGTATCTTGTTTTCTTATCTCACCCGAAAATACCTTCAGTGTCACTTGCAAATGGTAGCTTGTGCTGTTCAGAACTGACAATTGGAGACAATGAGTTCTACCTAACTGAGCCCCTAGAGCATCTCTAGAGTTTCCTTAGCTATCTCATATCAAAAGCCTGACTCTTGCATAGCTAGAATTCTGACCCTGAGGTGGTATTGCTTTTGACCAGTATTAAAAATAATAGTAAATAACATTTCTTTTTTCTTCTTTCAGAGGTTCGAATTGCTGCAGTCGAGGCCCTGTGTATGCTGGCTCAGTCTTCACCTTCTTTTGCAGAGAAGTGTCTTGATTTTCTAGTAGATATGTTTAATGATGAGATTGAAGAGGTGAGATTACAGTCGATACACACGATGAGAAAAATCTCTAACAATATTACGTTGCGAGAGGACCAGCTCGATACTGTGCTAGCTGTGTTGGAGGCAAGTGTTCTCTTTGGAAAGAGCTTCCCATGTCAATTGTCTTTGACCTCCTAGAATGTATGACATTTGTGGGGTTGTTGGGCTTTTTTTGGGGGGGGGGGAATATGAAAAATCAAGACATATGCCAATATGGAGCATGGTTTAAACTAGGGGTGTTAATTAATGTACATTTGTGTAAACGTGTAACCACTGGATTTATCAGTTTCCTCTGAACTGCCTTCTCACCCCATCCCATCCCTCCCCATACTGATAGAGGCAGCAGCATGCAGGGCAGGTGGCTCTGTGAAAGCCGATACGTGCGGGCAGCTGGCTTGAAAACTACACTTCCCACATGTACCGTCTCTCACCTTCTGATAGAGAGGCAGCAGCGCGAGGGGGGCAGGTTAAGTGGGTTCCTCCCGAGCGCTGGCTCCCTCCTGCCACCCACACTGCTGCCTCTCAGGGGAAGGGAGAGCAGATGGCTCATTCTGCCCATATGTATTGTATTCCATTTGAGAGAATGAAGAGTCAAGAAATTTGTGTCTATGAAAGGAAGCAAGTGAGACATCTTGGCTGAGTTCAGATGAGCTGGACTGATGTTCCTGTGTGTTTTGCTGTAACCTATTGTAAATAGACAGTGAGTTTAGAGATCCTGTGGGATTAATTCTACAAGTCAAATAAAAGGAATCAACATCTTCAAAATGTGTATATGCCTATATACAGGTGCACGCTAATCTTTTGGCCTTTTCATTTTTAGGATTCCTCCCGAGACATCAGGGAAGCACTTCATGAACTACTGTGTTGCACCAATGTCTCAACTAAAGAAGGCATCCATCTTGCACTGGTAGAGCTGCTGAAAAACCTAACCAAATATCCTACTGACAGAGAGTCCATATGGAAGTAAGAAATGCTTTTCTACAAGCTTCTTGGTTGTCTGCTTTCTTTGGCTTTCATATTTATTCTAATAAATAAGCCATATAGCTAGTACACATTTTATTTAGATGAGGGATACGGTTACCATTCATGTGCTTTCTTGTTCTGTAAATATTCTGAACAGAAGTTGTATTAGGCATTCTTTATACTGACCTTCAAAATAGAATTTTTTGGATCTTATACTAGTTGTTAACTATATTATTCATGAGCACACTGTGCTGTTGGGTGGGGGCTGGAGTCTACTTGACCTCCATAACAAACATTGATTTTTTTTCATAGACAACACAAGAGAGTTGCTTTGGATTTTTAAAAATGGAAACAATAAACAAGTCAATACTATACAAAATGTGGATTCAAATTGAACTTATTATTTTAAAATCCTTATAAGTATTTATTTTAAACCGCTTTTTCCAAAAAGCCACTTAAAATATATTCTGGATATTTAACACACAAAAAAAGGGTTAGTAAAGGTGGTATGTTTATTAATTAATTAATTTAGTATTATACATAGCACTGCAAAGTGTATTTGGCATTTTGCAGACAGGTTTCTGTCTATAAAATAATTACAATTTAACTAGACTGCATTTATTTTTGCTCCCTCCATTTTTCTATTTGTTTTTTCAAACATTTTCAGTTTCATTGACATTTGATAGGGACCAACAAAACTAAGACTGTCATTGGATATATATGTGAAATACTTAACACACTGGGATCCTGATTTTGATTGGGTCCTCTGGGGGCTATTATAATATAAATGTGCTATAATGTTAATGATTTTGTTAAATCTTCTTTACTCAGAAATGTTCTTAAACTGTGCATTTTTCAGGTGCTTAAAGTTCCTGGGAAGTAGGCATCCTACTCTGGTGCTTCCACTGGTCCCAGAGCTGCTGAGTACACATCCTTTTTTCGACACCCCTGAGCCTGACATGGATGACCCAGCCTGTATCTTTTTTTCCCCCTCCTCCTTCCCCCTCCTTTTTTCATATTTCTGTCAGAAAGTCTTTGCTTACTTGAAGACTTATGCAAATTTTTCTAATCAAATTCATTTTACTGCTTCAGAGTAAAGTAAACTATTTCACTATGCAGTGCTGTTGTAGCTGTGTTGCTCCCAGGATATTAGAGAGACATGGGGAGTGGTGTGATAGCTTTTGTTGTACTAACTTCTGTTGTGAGAGAGAAACAAGTTTTCGGGTTAGTTAGTTTCTCAGACCTGAAAAAGGGCTGTGTGCAAGCTCAAACTTGTATTGGGCCAACTTCTATTGGTAAAAAGACAAGCTATTATGTCAGCTATTTAGCTGTTCATTGTTCTGTTAGTTCTATTACCAGTCCAATGGTGGGGTCAGGTTTTGGAATAACTATGCTACCTAGTTCAAATGCCATCAGGATCAAATTAGTCCTTTATCCCTCTGAGGTGAATTAATTAGGTACCTTGCAATTTGTTGTGTATGGGTCTGTCAGATAAGTCCATTAAAGACCAAGATCTGCATGAACTTTAAAGATCCATTAGCACTTTCAGCAAGCAAAGGATGTGCCATGGAACATTTAGCTAAAACTTCCCTTTCCTTGACTGTTCTGCAGTTCTGGTTGGCTGGTGTCATTCACCCCAGAGATGGCTAAATTATAGATGAGCTATACATTTATAGTTTGTGGGACACTTTGGTTTCTGTCATAAATCTTTAATAAATTAATGGCTTCACTGGAACATCTAAAACATTGTGTGTGCTAAGTGTTATCATCATCATCTTAGACAATAGAAGATGCTATGGAGATATAAAATGCCATTGTTTATTTTTTTTTTCTCCTCCATTCTCATCTCAGTAATTGCAGACACAAAACTTTGTTTAAAATGCTTAGAACAGTTCTACTGGAACTATTCTCTCCCCCTCTACTTCTGTGTAGTATAGCTTCTTTCTCATGCACCATTTACCCAAGCTTTGTAGTTGTACAGAAAGCTTGGGTAAATGGTGCATGAGAGAGAAGCTATACTATAGAAAGGAAACTAAAATAAACCCTTTTAGAAATTGAGGAGAGTCTGAATTGAATGCAAGGAGGGATTTATACCTAACCAGATAGCTAATGCAAATAATTGAATACATTTGTCCTTTTGAGTAAAGATTTAGAGAAAATTGGGAAAAGAGGAATCCATTTGAGTTAAAAGGTTTCTCTTACTCCAGTCCACAGTGTGTTAGTTTACACAATCTTCACATTACTTCCTAATAAGGATGTTAAGAAGTGAGTAATTGACTAATCGTGTACTCGATACAATTTTATCAACAGCCCAGCAGCTCCTACTACATTTAAACTGTAGAGCTGCAGCAGGGGCAGGTGCCAGACTTGGAAATTCCATCGACTACTTGACTAGTAAATTAATCGTTATTTAACATCCTTACAACGTAGGCTTATCGGGTAGTCAACTACTAAACTAGTCACTTACATCTCTACTTCCTAAACATTAAATGGTTGATGCTGGTGCTGTCCTTTCACCAGTGTCAGTGAAGTGTACTGTAATATAGTACCTATATGCCATATGTTTATCTGGCAGAGAGGTGTTTGAGGTTTTTTGCCCGTGTTGGACAGAACTTTATAAATAATCTGCAGCAAAGGAAGTGTCCAATGTTTCTTAACTTGCTATCCATAAAGAATCTAAAAATTACCTTCTTTTCCCTTAACATCCCACTTCAATAGATATTGCAGTTTTGGTTCTTATTTTTAATGCTGCCAAAACTTGCCCAACAATGCCAGCGCTGTTCTCGGATCATACTTTCCGACACTATGCCTATCTTCGTGACAGTCTTTCTCATCTTGTCCCTCCATTGAGAGTAAGTTGAGGCTCCTTGGTTTGCACTTCGGTTTTGCATTAGTCTTTTATTCTTGTTTGGTTTTCAGAAGTCTGACTTTCCTTAACCATTTACTTTCCTTCAGTGGGGGAAATGCTGGGGGGGGGGGGGGGGAGACTAAAACATTACAGTATGGATTTTGTAATATTTTGGTGGTGGGGTGGAGTGAGAGAATAATCAACCATATAAAAGAGAAGAGTATAGTGGTGATGAGGGAGGAGGGATAGCTCAGTGGTTTGAGCATTGGCCTGCTAAACCCAGGGGTTGTGAGTTCAATCCTTGTGGAGGCCATTTAGGGATTTGGGGCAAAAATTTGTCAGGGATGGTACTTGGTCCTGCTGTGAAGGCAGGGGACTGGACTTGACTTGATGACCTTCCAAGGTTCCTTCCAGTTCTAGGATATAGGCAATCTCCATTAATTTATTTATTTAGGACTCCTGAGTTCTTTTCATAGCTCTGCAGCAGAGGTCCTGCAACAAGGCCCATGATTCAATTCCACTTAAGCCTTCTACTTATGAGTAGGATTGCCCCTTGATGCTCTGTGTCCCCGTGCCCCATTAGCTTAGTGTAGTGTTTCCCAAAATAGTGCTCCGTGGAACTCTGGGTTTCTGTGAAGTGAAAGTAAGGGTTCCGACTCCTGAGTTCTTTTCATAGCTCTGCAGCAGAGGTCCTGCAACAAGGCCCATGATTCAATTCCACTTAAGCCTTCTACTTATGAGTAGGATTGCCCCTTGATGCTCTGTGTCCCCGTGCCCCATTAGCTTAGTGTAGTGTTTCCCAAAATAGTGCTCCGTGGAACTCTGGGTTTCTGTGAAGTGAAAGTAAGGGTTCCGTGAGAACACGAT